CCTGGGGAGGACAAACATGAGCAAAAACCAGGCCATTTTCAGATCTTTGCTGCACATGCACGGGGGGGGCGCATGCAGGAGGTGCGTGCACATGTGCAGGGGTGGGGGAGTGCAGGGAGGGTCACACACATGCATGGGGGGTGCACGAGCATGATTGGTGGGGCGGGGTGCGGGGGTTGTGAATCAGTGGTGGGTTTCAAAAATTTTTGGAACCTCTTCTGTAGGTGTGGCCTGCTTTCCGTGTCCACTGGTGGAACCTCTTCTAACCGGTTCGGTAGATTTGACAAACCAGTTCTACCGAATAGGTAACAGAACTGATCAGAATAGAATAGCAGAATTGGAAGGGGCCCTGGAGGTCTTCTAGTCCAGACACCATGATTGCATCTTTTGGTTTATGATCCAGGACTTATCACTTTGTATGTACACTGATAGCTTATTTTGATTTGTTTATTATTTATAGGCCGCCCTTTTCCCTGAGGGGACTCAGGGCGGCTTACAATTTGTGCAGCTTATGCATCGGAGACAAATTCCTTATGTGTCCAATCACACTTGGCCAATAAAGAATATTCTGATTTGCTTAAACGGGGTATTAAGATAGACTGACCAATCTCCATAAGCAATCTAGCCACAAAAACCTCTGTCAGCCCTGAAGTGAAACTGGCTGAGGCCATCTTGGAGGCTTCAGGGTTGCCACACAACAGAGGGAGGAGGGAAATAGCTAGATGAGGTTTCATAGCCAAAAAAAAATAAAGTTTTCCTGTGGGAACCAAGGATATTCTCACTGGTAGCTGGCCACAGGAGGAGTGAAGTAACCAGGCAACCAGCAGGCACCCAGATTGGACAGCATGACCAGTGACTTGGGGGAAAGAGGAAACTTTTACTTATTAATTAAGTGAAAGTTGTGGGAACTTTCAGAGTTGGCTTTTATCAGTTGTGCCAATATGATGTAGCCAATACATTGTTCTTTGAAGAATTTGCCTACCTCAGAGCTCTGCTTTCTCGGGGTACATTACTTGGAAACAGCAACAACTGGTTCGGTGATCACATGTTTCACGCTTGTGTGAGAACAGTTTTACCAAAACTTACCTTCCACGTTACTTCTTGGGGAGTAACACCGCTAAGGCATGGCAATCCACTCTGCTGTGCTAATCAGCTGAGAAGATATAGGTAAGTAAAGTGTGTGGGTGGGCGGGCCAACCTGATTGTCGGCAAGAAGCTGTTTTCTCTCGAGCTGTTTGCTCGAACCGATCCGAACCGGCTGATTGATTGATTGATTGATTGATTTAGTTTATTTGTGTGCCGCCCTTCTCCGGGAGGGACTCAGGGCGGCGAACAACTNCAGTCAACTGGACATTTAAAGATGTATCACATATATTCTGTTGTTTTTATACTGTTATGTTGTGGGGAAAATAGAAGGAGGAAGGTGCATTAGATATGATTGCCACCTTGTAAAAATAATAAAGGCGGGATACAGATCAATAAATAAGATGTATTTTGTTCCACAGAACAATTAGAACAATTTAGAAGGGTAAGCCACATGAATTCTAAAGTGAATAACTCAGTCAAACATATGATATTGATTCAACTACAGCCTCTGAACAAGAATAGATTGATCTTGGAAGATAAGATAATTATGTCTACTTTCTGGGATATATGCAGAATAAATGTTAGCATTTTTTCCCCCTCTGTGAGACATGAAGTAGAAAGGATGCTATATAAAGTTTTGGAATTCAAACGTACCTGTTCTAAAAGCGGGTGTTATGTTTTGAGAAATTCTTCTCTCATGGACTTGTCACGTGTTCTCTGTTTCCATGACTCTCAAGGACAGAGTTGTCAGTCCACAACTGATCACAAATCCTACTTTTGCTTCTGTTTCCTCCCACCGAAGGAATCAAATTTGTCAACAAGGATTAATTAGCTTAAGGATCTCTCTCCGCCTGCCTTCGCTAATTTTAACGTGGATTTCAGCTGGCAAATCCTGAATGGTTATGCCTGACAACATTTTATTATCTGACCTAATGAGATCCAATTAGCCCCCTTCCTTGTCAGGATAGCTGAATGCCTTCAAAATCTGGCTTTCCGAGAAGAGCTTGAGGCTGATGCACTGTGTGTTTGTTCTCTTTCTTTATCCTGGTGATTATTAAATGATTATTTTGGTGAATGTGGTGATTGCAACACTCTTCTCGTGCTGTTTTTAACTGAAAGTGGAGGTGTGGGCTGGCCAGAGTTGGATATGACTGGCATCTCTGTCATAGTTCAGTAATCCATATTATTAAGTATCCGTATTACAAAGACTAGATTATAAATAAAAGTAAGGAGGAATTAAGTCATTAAAATTCTGTCACAGTGAAGGGCGGAGGGGCACAAAATAATCTCTTCGGAAAAGGATTGGGTTTGATTTCATAGACATGGTTGCCATCTTGATTTTTGTGAGGTGAGGTTTTGAATGCATGGATTTGATCACCGCCTTTTGACCACCATCTTCTGGATTTTCATAGACTTCACTTTTCATAATTATCTCTTTCCTATATTCTGAAAAGCACTCCTTGTTAAACAGTGGTGGGTTTCAAAAATTGTTCGAACCTACTCTGTGGGTGTGGCCTCCTTTGTGGGAGTGGCTTGCCACCCATGTGACCGGATATGAAGANTCTTGCTATTAAAGTACATTCCAGTTAAGCTTATCTCGGCAGTTGTTACTGGATGGAGGAGGGGGTCAGAACAGATGGTAACCACCCGAACCCCCAAAATGCAATGTGCATGCGCCCCCTGAATGTGCCCTGCCCTCCACACATTCTCAAGTGTTTCCCACACATGCAAACACAGCCCCCTGTTCCCCCCACCCTCCACACATATGCAGCAGACACCCCAAAACCAGCTGGCCAGCGGACGGTGCATGCCCACAGAGAGAGCGCTGCATGCCCCAGTTATATTCCATTCAGAAATCTAATTGGATCATGAATGGGTGAAAATTCAGACTTCTGCCCTTCAAGTCTCAGATTTAAATCCAATATTCTGACTGCCCACCTCAAAACTCTGGATCCTTCTCACATGGAGAGCCAGTTTGGTCTAGCAGTCGAGGCACCTGGCTAGGTACCAGGAGACTATGAATTCTAGTCCCACTTTAAGCCCATAAAAGCCAATCACTCTAAGTCCAAGCCAACTCACTGGTTGTTGTGGTGAGGAAAATTGGAGGAGGAAAGATGAGTTGAATCTATTCGCCACCTTGAGTGATTTGCAAAAATAACAAAAGTGGGATACAACTAAATAAATAAAATATATTAATTCTACTTGCATTTATAGGGTTGGCCAAAATCTTTGTCTGAATTTAATATGGCTCAATTGTTAACGGATTGAGCAGATTAACAAAGTTGGAAGGGACCTTATAGGTCATCTAGTCCAACACCCCCCCCAACCAAACAGGAGACCCTACCCCATTTCTGACAAATAGCAGTTCAGTCTCTTCTTGAAAGCCTCCAGTGATGAGGCTCCCACAACTTCGGAAGGCAACTTCTGTTCCATGGGTTGATTGCTGTCACTGTCAGAAAATTTATCCTTATTTCTAGGCTGAATGTCTCCTTGATTAATTTCCATCCATTATTCCTTGTCTGGCTTTTGGGTGCCTTGGAAAATAGCTTGACCCACCTCCTATCTGTGGTAGCACCTCAAATATTGGAGGACTACTATTATGTCATATCATGTTACTCAATCTTCTTGGCAATAGGCCTTGAACATTGGTCATTACATTCCTGGATAGAATACTTAAAGGTAAAGGTAAAGGTTTCCCTTGAACATATGTGGTAGTTGTTCCCGACACTAGGGGGCGGTGCTCATCTAAGCCGAGGTGGTGCAGTGGTTAGGGTGCAGTACTGCAGGCCACTTCAGCTGACTGT